TTGCAAATAACATTGGTATTTTTTTAATGTATTTACCCTCTGCATAAAAAAATTTTAGCAAAAATGTAAAGGGGGTGGTTACGTTTAGTAGTTTAGAAGGATAGGTTGAAAGTACAAATAGGGTGAAAACATGCCCTACTACCACTTAAACATATTCCCCAAATTTCGTTGTCCTAGCGTTTATGGTTTTTGAGAAAAAAAAATTAAACCAAAATTTTCCGCCACTTTTGGAGGGGTGTAGCTCCTTAGGGGAGCCCAAGTCGCCCACGGTTTATATATCAAAGTACCCTTAAAATTGCCTAAAGAATCACCCCCTGAAGTTTGGGCATGTCATTCAGATACACCCTGTATAGGGATATTACATATTATTGGGAGTAGATCTCCTATGCCTTTTTAAAGAAAGATAGGCAGAATTCCATCCCCTCCATGTGATTTTAAGGGCTTAAAATTAGAGATAGCCCACCTATCTGTACTGGGTGAAAATTTTCCCAGCTAAACTGCGAATCATGCCATGAACGGGTGATATCCATTACTTCGTGATCTGCTTCTGCATTAGTACAAACTTTTAATGCAGGAAAATATGTGCTGTAATAGGAGCTCTAACGATTCGTTAGTATATTTTCCATTTTCTTTGCATAGGTGACCTAGATCAGTGTGTGATTTTTCTTCCAAGACCTTATGCAGGCAAGCAACATGATGTGTATACCTTCGCAGAAACTACGTCAAGTTTTTACTTTTGGCTTTTCGAATGGCCAAGTTATAACTCCTAATGTATGTTCGTCTTTGGAATACCTGACTTTATTGTATAGTCTTCTAACCAATGGTTCGCTATTGTTCGAGCTTCTTTGGATGGAAATTTATTGCGTCGTTTCAGTAGATAATATTATCAATATTATTAACAATATTTAATGAATTCATTAATTCCTGAAATGGCTCTATGCTCTTCATTAAACAAATTAAACTCAATATTTGCTTTGGGGTTAATCGCCAAGCACCTATTAGTAAGTTGTCTTCAGATAGATCTTCACAATTTGTCAATACATATTTTTCTTCATCTGGATGGAATGGTAGAGGACGTTTCACTAAACAGCTCATTTAATTCATCCAAGTCACATTATTACAACGTTTAACAACATTTTTATGACAAAACAATTTTTTGTTCATTATAATAACGTTAAAACAACCCTTAAATGGTATTTAAATAGAACCTGGTAGAAAAATTACCAAAAATATGATTAAAAAATATGAATAGAGAATGGAATTTGAGGATTTAACAACATTTCTTAACGCCAAAAAGGTCTTTGAACCTACAAGTTCAAAAACCGTACGCGAAAAATAATACAGCGTTAAATCTGTTTTTGTTTCGAACCAACTACTAGAACGATAAAGTTACAAATCATAAAGTTTAACAGATATTTCAATTAGTATTTATGTAATTTAGTTATTCTCAACGTTTTTAATCAACAATATTGATAAATTTTATTTAATAATTTAAGTTTTAAAAAAAAATTGTTTTAAAAATTATTCAAAAAAATCTTTTATGACAAAATGTGAACGTCCAGAAAGAAATAAAAATACGCCCTACTTAAAGCACCTTCTCCAGTTTCCTTATAAAAGCGACGAGATTTAAACTTTTCGTGTAGATTAGTGACTTCACCTGAAGACATTACAACAACAAGTAAGTGGTTTAATTTTGTATCATCACAAACTTTCTAAATTTTTTTCAGTTTTCAATCCATTACCATCATGTCTTTGGATCCCTTGGACGTCCAAGGATTCGATTTTTATGCAAGAGATAATTCCAGAGAACATCACACCGAACGTTATGATTTGGTGGCATTAAGAGATAAACCAACCCCAATTTTACGTCGAGGTTTCAGTTTCATTTTTACATTACGCTTCAACAGAAATTTCGATGAAGCAAGAGACATCGTTTATATTGCGTTTTGTTTTGGTACGATTAAAATTTTTGTGTAACCCCTTTTTTAATTTAATTTTTATATAGGACCGAAACCGCATGTTACAAAGGGTACAAAAATTATTCTTCCCTTGCTCACAAGGGACAAACAAATGCAAAAAGAAATGTACAGATGGAACATGACCATGCAACGACACGAAGGAAATGCCGTAACTATGCAAATCCACATTCCACCGAACGCTCAAGTTGGAATTTGGAGGTGTGAGATTCAAACTGAAATTTTTGGAGGGCGATCATATGATGCTTATAGAAGGGGTGAATTGTATATCGATGGGAGGGATAATTTAAAAAGAGATGATTTCAGAGTATGAATTATTTCATAAATTTTTTTGTTGTTAATTATTAACTTTTTTAATTAATTTAGTGTGAAGAAGACGTCTACATCCTTTTTAACCCTTGGTGTAGAGACGATGGGGTTTACATGGACCATGAAGATGATCGCCAAGAATACGTTTTAAACGATAGCGGAAAAATTTGGTGTGGAACTTACAAACATCCAAAAGGAAAACGATGGATTTATGGTCAATTCGACGAAATCGTTCTTCCAGCAGTTCTTTTTCTTTTAGATAAATCCCATCTTCCTTACGTCGATTGGGGATCACCAGTTTTGGTGTCAAGAGCTATCACCCAAGTTGTAAATGCGTTCGACGATGAAGGCCTTTTAGAAGGAAAATGGGATGGTGATTATCGTGGGGGAACTTCACCACACGCATGGACTGGTTCCGTTGCAATTTTGAGCCAATTTTTAAAAGCAGGTGGTCGTCCAGTAAAATACGGACAATGTTGGGTTTTTTCAGCTCTTGTGGTAACAATTTGCAGAGCTTTAGGAATTCCGTGTCGGTCAACAACCAATTATGTTTCGGCCCATGACACAAATTGTTCTTTAACTGTTGATCGATATTTCGATTTGAGAGGAAATCGTTTGGAATATGGCCCAAGAGGAGAAAGCTATCGCTATAAACGCGTTATTTCTTACAATTACCAAAGACTTAACGATCAAGAAAGACGCATTCAAAGATATGATTGGTCAAAAGATGCCGAAAATCAAGATTGGATGTATAAGCGAGATCTTCCTGATGATGGTTACCGATATAGAAGACAATCTTGGCCGAGGAGATCCCAAATTCCTTGTTATGAAGGAAGAACTGAAAGCGTTCAACCTTCCCCGGATGGAGGCGATGGAAGGGGAGGTTTTTACGATAGAAATAGAAGTTACTTTGATGGAAGAGGTTACTCAGATACGAGAAGTTATTTTGATGGGACCGGATATAATAGAAATCGGAGCTATTTTGATGGAAAAGGAAGTTATTATAATTATAATTGTTATGATAATAGAAAAGATCAAGATTCGAAGAGTTGTTTGGATGGTACGGTGAGTTGTTACAATGCTTGTCGCGGTTATTTCGAGGGAAAAGGAAATTCAAATTACGATGGCGATTACCATAATCGAAGAGGTTTGGGAATGGATATTAAAAGTGGTCCTTTAGATGGAGGATATCGTTACAGACCAAGTTATGATTATGAAACAAGAAATTTTGGAAATCCAAGTAAAAGTTATTCATCCCCAGATAATAGGGATGGTCGAAATGATTATAATCGCGGGTATTTTGATAATAGCAGAAATTATTTTTGGAACCGAGCTTATTACAACAACGATTGGGATTACAGCAGGAACGCGTTTAATAGAAGAAGTTGGGATGGAAGTAATCGATATTATAGAACCAGTTGTGATAACATGGAAGGCAATCGAAATTATGGGAATAGATATTGGAATAGAAGCTTTAATGATCCTAATTTTGATGGGGGGAGACATCTCAATAGGAATAGTTATGAACAGGATAGAAATTTTATGCCTGATTACTACGAAAAGCAAAGAATGTATTCTCGCAATCCTATGTATGGTGAAGGAAATTATCGCAACATGGATCGGTTAGATAGATGGGATAGAATGGACCGATTTGATAGAATGGACAGAACTGGTTTATACGACAGAGAAAATAGATTTGATTATGACCGATTTAGGAATTTTAATCGATTAGGACCAAATCATTTTGATAAATACGAATCATTTGAGCGCCCTCATTTTGAAAGGGAGAGATATAGAGAAAGATTAGGGTCTAATCCTGGAAGAAATTATAATAGAAATTATTTTGATGGTGATAGAGGATGTATGGAAGGAAATAGACGAAATTATGGGGAACCCGACAATTTCGAAAGTAACCGCTATTGGAACAGATATTACAGGGATTACAGCGATAGAAATCGTTTTGAACCTGACTATGATCGGCAAAGATTTTGGAATAGACATAATTTAGATGGTGATATGCCCGAAAGAAGATGGAATAGAGGTTCGTTTGATGGAGATCGATTTGAATGTAACAAAAAGTGGGATTATGAAAGAGATTGGACTAAAAATCGTTATTGGAATAGATTCAACGGGGATTATTACGGTGGGAATTATTGGGATAGAGCCAGGCATTGGAACAGATATGGAGATTTTGATAATAGGGATCGACACTGGAATAGAAACTATTTTGACGGGGATCGAAACTGGAACATTTACGGTTGGAACAGAGGTTACAGCGATGAAAATAGATACCATTTCGATATGGGTCGTCGTTTCGAATACGATAGCGACCGCGGAAATGATTATTACAGAAACGGTCACCAAAGAGGATATTTCGATGGGAATTACAGCAAAAGTCTTGATTATAATTACAACAAATTTAATTATGGCCGTGTGAACGGTAATCGATATTACGACATTTATAAACATAACTTCCCCGAAAGTTATTTCGACCATCCAAGAGATTTTTACGATAATCGCTACAGAAACACCGATTCTTCTTCCTATTTTAATAGAAATTATTACGATAGAGATTATTATAACAAACGTTGTTTTGAAGGACATGATAATCGTTATGATTGGAGATTTAACCGAGATTATCATAGCCCCGATTATAATCGGGATTATTACAATACTTGCTGGACGTTCCATGTTTGGAATGAAGTGTGGATGGCTCGACCTGATTTACCACCAGGATACGGAGGTTGGCAAGTTATTGATGCAACACCGCAAGAACAAAATGATACGATCGTTAAATGTGGGCCTGCATCCGTTGAGGCTATTAGAAGAGGAGAAGTTGGATTTTTATACGATACTCCTTTCGTTTTTGCTGAGGTTAATGCAGATTTGTGTCATTATCAAGAAGATCCGCGATCTGATTGGGGTTATAATCGATTATTTTTGGATCGTTACCAGTAAGTTAAAATCTTTTTGTTAATATCTTTATTTCAATATTGATTTTTTTTAGAATTGGTCGCCGTATTGTTACAAAACGCGTCGATATCGATGATGATGTTGGTGAAAATGATCTTTGGGATATCACCCGAGAATATAAAAACCTTGAAGAAGCGGATGCTGAAAGATTCGCAGTTTATAACGCCGTTCGTGGTGTTCCTCGAACCCACCCAATGCAAGAACTCCCAGATGATTGCTACATTCAAGATGTTGAGTTAAGTTTGATTGATATAGACGCAGTACCAATGGGGCAAGATTTTAATATTCTCATAAACGTTAGTAATAACGCAAATGAACCCCGGACAATCAACGTTATGGTCTCGATTGCTTCCGTTTTTTATCACGGAATGACCGCAGCGAATATTAAACGTCATCAACACACATTTACTTTAAAATCTAGAGACAAAGAGGTTGTTAAACTACATATATCCCCAACTGAATATTTGGGAAAATTGGTTGATCATAGTATGATGAAAATTTACGCGATTGGCCATGTAAAAGAAACAGGACAAAATTGGAGTGAAGAGGATGATTTCACTATGATGAAACCATACCTACAAATCCATACCGATCAAAGATGGATTGTTGGACAAGAAAATCGTGCAGAATTCAGTTTTAGAAATCCACTAAATTGCCGTTTAACTGGATGTTCGTATACAGTTGAAGGTCCTGGTTTGCAAAAGACCAAAGTGAATCATTACAGGGAGGTACAACCTAATGAAGTGGTTACTTTTGAGGAAGGATTTTTCCCGCATAGGGCCGGGGAAAGAAGAATCGTGGCGAATTTTAATTGCAAAGAAATCGATTGTATTAATGGTAGCCTTATTGTACTCGTACAATAAAAAAGAAGCTTTTGGTTTTGCGGAAAATGTACTCGTATATTAGCTTTTATAAAATGTCACAGGCAATGTATATCGGAAAATGTATATTGGACGTACCAAATAATTGGTAGATTTTTTCTTTCTGTGTTATGTTCCCCTAATACTTATTACAACCTTGTTGCACTTTAACTTACTTATCTTTTTGCTATTTTTCGAATCTACCCAAGGTATATTTGATACGTCTTGTATATAAATATTAATTTTGTTATATATTTTTGCACCCAATTATATATTTACTACTCATTACGTAATCTAGATTTTTAATATTACATTGTATCATTTATGGATGGAAGGTTTTATGATCGTATTATTTACAATAAGAATAAAATATATAACTATTCGTGTAAACATTAATAATTATCTAAAATTTCAATTTATCCAAATATAAACTGTATAAAAAGAGTTCTTAAAATTTTTATGAATATGCCTTAAAAATGATTAATCTCAAATAATGATTACAACATTTTTTTTGAAAATCCAAAGACTGCATATAAAAGTTTTTTTTTAAATAAATTTTTACTAGGAAGTTTATGTTTATACATTAATTTCAATTAATCCAACAATAAATTGAATATAAAAGAGTTCTTCAAATTTTTATGAATATGCCTTAAAAATGATTAATTAGAAATAATGTTTAAATAACTGTTTTAGAGAACCTATAAATAAACTGAATATAAAAGAGTTTTTTAATTTTTTTTATCAATAACTTAAATAATCAATGTGAAATAATGTATAAATAATTTTTTTTGCGAGAATGAGGAGGAAGTGGTGTACGAAGTTCAAGGAAGGAAGTTTATTTATTGAATTTGATAAGCCTTCGGAACTACATATATATAAGCACGCCTTTAGGTCTTCTAAATAACAGTCGTTTTATAACATTTAAACTGATAATAACACATCTGCAAGAATGCCTGTTTTAATCGATTCTGGTAAGTTCGCCTTATTAATATTTAATATTTGATTTGGTGTATTTTATACTGTTATAAATATAATAAGTCCGTACTTGTAATATTTTAGTATTTCTTTGATTAACAACACTTTGGTTAACAATCTTATTATTATATTATAAAATTTTAAGAATTGATTGAAGAGTTCTTAAAAATTCTGTCGTGTTATAATAAAATTACATGTTATTTTGAAGAATTCTTAGTAGCTAAAAGGCACTAAAAATAATCGTGTGTGCCGGACGTTAACAAATGAAATTAAACATTATAGGTTTGGTATCTAACCAATATGGTTATTTTTTCTCAATATTTCTCAACTTTGTTCAGTTAATATTAATTTTCTGTCAATATTTCCAGTGGGAAAGATGTATCACTCACTGTCAAAATAACATATAATTAAAAAAAAAAACACTATATGGACCACCCATACATCTTGATCTATCCTTGACATACCTCAACATCGTCTCACCTAATATCTTGAAATATCACCACTGCTATACTCAAACCAGTATTATTCTTAAACATTGTTTATGGCATTGTCTATGACAATCTTTAACTCATCATCTATTAACATCTTGCTTAGTATTTCTAAGCTCTTAACAATCAGGGTGTATTAACGTCGCGTCTTGTATCAGATATTTTTCAAAATTTTTGTTCAATTTCGTTCCTGACGTTTAATAACACAATTAGTATAACTCTATTATGTCCTAACTAGAGGTGTTAACCCATACTTGTACCTGCTACTTTAGAACAGGTGTTTGTATGTTGTTCCTTGGAACAGTTACTAAATTCAAAAAGTAACAGGCACAAAATACTAGTTTTGTAAACGTTATCGATTTCATCTCTATGTTACTTATTATTCGGTATGGGTAGGAACAACAAAGATTTGATGTATTTTTGTAACAACTGTTACTAATTAAACTAATACTGGACCTATTTATTATTATACTGAGCGTTAAGTTAGTTATCCACTAATAATTATTAATTAAGCAAATAATTTTAGTTTAATTTAATAATACTATAAGATTTAAAAAAAAGGGCTTTATTTAATCTTTAGAAAAACAAACTTGTCGCAAGGACGCTTCAGAATTTTATTTATTTATCACGGTGAAAAACACCACCAAACTGCACGTTTGTTATAAATAATATTAATAATCTTTTCGAAAACTGCTATTAAAAGTTGATTCTTGCGTAGTACTTGGCGACCGTCAAAACGATAGTTTTTTGTCAATAGGACGTAAAAGTCTTTTTTGTAATTCGCGACGGTAATGAAAGCTATAACAGTACTCAAACGGGTGCTGTAATGAGACTCCTTACAGCATCCGATGCTGTAATGAGATTTTAGTAACATTTTATGGAACCAGTTCAAGTTGGTCACATTGGGTCATTAATTTTTCTAGTTGTCAATGTGACAATGTTAGTCTATGGATATTTAAACACGTTTAGCATCGAATACAAGGTCCACAATGATGAGGACATTGAACACTGAGTGCTTTCTCTTATTTTGGGAGGTGTACATGAAACCTTTTTTTGCAGGTGAATACATTTTGTGTTTTGACAGTTTCTAATTGTCAATTCAAATTTCTATTTTCAAGTGTTACGGTGTTACCAACTGCTACGTACCTATTTCCCTACATTGTCAAAATATATTTTATTTCTGTTAAAAAAAAGGATAAAAACGCGAATTACAAAAAATAGCATAAAAAACACGTTTCATAAGACTTAAAGTACTGATTCATTAAAAAACACACTTTTCGCCACACGTTTTTCAACTTGAATTCGTGCATTTCAAGCGTGTCTTACGAAACTAGTTTCTTAATATACTATTACGTTCTGGACGTAAAAGACTTTTATGTCCAGTTATAACAATCAAAGAATTTGATACTATTAATTGTTAATTTATTTTAATTATTTTAATTGTTATGAACAAATTATAAACACAAAATTTCATGTTTAAATGCAAATTTATAATGGTACATTTGTTCAATTGCATTTTTTGGAATTATGATATGATTCGTATGTTAAATTGAAGCTTAAAGTTTGTAGTTTATGATATGATATAAAAATTATGAGATGATATTAATGAAATTTCCAGAAAAAAGTTGTTGAAGAAGAAATTGTCAAAAAGATTACGAAATTTTCAAAAAACCATATCATTCGCATTTTTAAGAATTATGATATGATTTATATGTTAAATTGAAGCTTAAAGATTGTAGTTTATGATAGGATATAAAAACTATAAGATAATATAATTAAAATTTTTAAGGAAAAATTATTAAAGAAGAAATTGTTAATTTTATGAATAAAAGAGAAATTTAAAAAAAATCATATCTACCGTATTATTATGAATAATGATGTGATATGTATGTTAAATTGAAGCTTAAAGATTGTAGTTTATGATATGATATAAAAACTATGAGATGATATTAATGAAATTTATAGGAATAAATTGTTGAAGAAGAAATTGTCAAAAAGATTACGAAATTTTCAAAAAACCATATCATTCGCATTTTTAAGAATTATGATACGATTTTTATGTTAAATTGAAGCTTAAAGATTGCAGTTTATAATATGATATAAAAACTATAAGATAATATAATTAAAATTTTTAAGAAAAAATTAAGTTAAGTCGATGTGTCGTTAAGTTTTTGACATATGTATGTAACATTAAATGAATTCTAAATGTCATTATACTCATTATATTGAATTTGATCATTTTATTAATTAATAAACTTTAGAACACGCAGATTTCGAAAAAATGTTATTTGATACACGACAGCAAAATTCTTTTGCATTCTCAAACGATTTTTTTTTCAAAAAAACTTTCGTTCTCGAATACAAAAGTGTCATTTCGCTCTCTTGTATCAAAAATAACTATTTTAGTTCACTTCAAACCTAAACGATTTAATAAAAATAAAACACGAAATATGTCCGTTAGCTCAGCTCGATCTTATATTTTCTTTCCACGGTTTTGAACAAAAAGTTATATGAAAAACATACCTTAATTTTTGCTGAAAAATCACCTTGAAATCTTTCGCATCAATTTAGAAACACTTTCTCCTCTGAAGAACGGGGGCGAACTCTGCGAGAAAATTTACTTACACCAGGTATCAATCGCGACCCGTACTTATTACTCTTATTATACTTATTATTCCCCACTATTTATCGTTGTTTTTCTCGATACTTCACATCATATATCGATATACTCGTTGATATATCTAAGTATCGTCCCTAATACCCTAAATATAACCAAGATATCCTCGAATATTATCTCTCAACATCTCCACTATCATCTATCAATATCATCCTTGTACCGCTAAATATTGTTCGTTCTATCTCTAAATAGTGTTCCTGATGTCCTTCAACCTCAATACTTCTGACATCTCCAAACATAATCTTTAGACTGTTTTAGCACTACCGTGGTCTCCTTCAACATATTGCCCACAATTTCTCAACATCGGCCTTAATATCGCTAAATATTTTCAATGAAATCTCTCAACATTTTTCGTCATCACCTAAATTGTTGCTGACATGTCTTAACACTGTTTCTTGCTTCCTTCGACATTTTCTCTAACATCGTAATTGTGAACAAAGTTGTTCTTAATATTTTCAAGTATTATCAATGATTCTTAATAGCATTCTTGATATCTCTCGAGATCATCTCTGATATCTTTTAGCATAATCAAAATCAAAAAATTAAAGCAATCAAAAGAGGTAGCGTTTTCTTCCAGCATTCTTATTTCTTTATCATCGTGGAACAAAAATGTGTTTTATAAATGTGTCTCAACGTTTCTTAAAGCGACTTTTGCTCTATTCGAAAACAATATTATAAGCTTATAAATAATAACCCAATTATAACATTTTTTAGTTTATTTATTTATTTACATCATTTAAACCAGTTCAAAAAATCGTCATTTTATTAATTTTAGTAGGTAATAAGTAACAAGTTTGCATAATCGCAAATTTCCGTGAAAATGTGCTGAGTACTGGAAATATAATAGTATATTAAAAAACAAGTTTCGTAAGACACGCTTGAAATGCACGAATTCAAGTTGAAAAACGTGTGCCGAAAAGTGTGTTTTTTAATGAATGAGTACTTTAACCCTTTCGTCCTGGATGGTACATATGTGTACCACAAATGTGTGAAAACCCCTGGAACCTAAAATGATCGCTCGTTTTCAGTGGAAATTGTACCAGGCCGTTGTTTATGCGTTATGTACAAAAATCGCACGCTGTCTGCATGACTCTAGCTAGTCTAGCGCTAATTTCCATTGTCTGCACGTGGTTTTGTGCAATTTTAGTGTTAAAAGTTGTTGTAATACACTATTATTATTGAATATTAATAGAGTAAATCACCAGAGAGTAAATTACAAGTAAATGATCAAAATAGTTAGTAATTAATTTTTTGGGTGGATATTTTTTTATATAGTACATATATGTACCAGCCGGGTTTTTCAGTGGTACACATATGTACCATCAGTTCTTTATGTACAAAAGGTAAATTTTTAGGACAACAATGAACAAGAAAAATTTGAGCCAAAAAGAGTTGGAAGATATAGCTGAAAATCTGACAGACTTTTCCTCTGGGTCTTCAGATGTATATAAACCAAGTACTAGTGAATCTGATTCTTCAGATGACTATGAAAAGAAAAACAATACAGATACCATGAAAAGAAAGAAGATTACTAAAGGTCCTAAAAATGATGAAAGTACTCAAGACAAAGAATCAAGTAGTGAAGATGATTCGGACAATGATGATACAAATATTGAGGTAGAATCAGAAACTTGCGATGAGGAGCATACAAATCGACTACCTGAATGGATTGTTCCAAGCAATACATTTGTACCTGCAAAATCTATTCCTTCTTCAAGACCTTGTAAAATTTATGACAAATAGAAATTCTCGTCCAATTNAAAAATCAAAAAATCGCTGTATTTTGGAACCGGTTGAGGTACAAACGAAAACAAAAGTGGTACAAACGGGTACAAACGATTCTCTATCGAATTCCATCGACCGTTTTGCGATATCTGTGTTAATAACGGAGATACACAATTTCAGCGGTATTCTGAAAAATCAAAAAATCGCTGTATTTTGGAACCGGTTGAGGTACAAACGAAATCGAAAGTGGTACAAACAGGTACAAACGATTCTCTATCGAATGGTAGTAATAAAATCAGAATATCGTAAACTCGGGTTCCAGGTTCACAGAGTTTGTTTTTATGCTATTTTTTGTAATTCGCGTTTTTATACTTTTTTTTTAACAAAAATAAAGTAAATTTTGGCAATGTAGGGAAATAGGTATGTAGCAGTTGGTTACACCGGAACACTTGAAAATAGAAACTTTGAATTGACAATTAGAAACTGTCAAAACAGAAAATATATTCACCTGAAAAAAATGTTTGATGTACACCTCCCAAAATAAGAGAAATTGCTCAGAGTCTATGTCCTCATCATTGTGGACTTTGTATTCGATGTTAAGAACGTGTTTAAACATCCATAGACAAAAATTGTCACATTGACAACTAGAAGAATTAATGACCCAATGTTACCAACTTGAACTGGTTCCATAAAATGTTACTAAAATCTCATTACAGCATCGGATGCTGTAAGGAGTCTCATTACAGCATCGGATGCTGTAAGGAGTCTCATTACAGCACCCGTTTGAGTACTGTTATAGCTTCCATTACCGTAGCGAATTACAAAAAATATATTACCCATTCCTATCGAAATGCAAACATCTTTGATAATAAAATCGGTTTCTTAACGAATACAAAATCATCAAAACAACTTATTCTGATATTCTGAAATTTCATTTTTATTATTTTCATCAAATAGATCTTAATCATTCTTCTTATTCATTTATTAATTACAACCTTTTTATAACATATATTTAAATATAACCATTTGCGACCACAAGATATGTAGATAATATGTCTTTAATTCTTTATTAATAGATATTTTTATAAAAATATGCGGTTTTGATAAGAATTAAAATTGAATTTTTTTTATTACTATCACGGGATGTCATGTGTGAGGGGAACTCTTACGATAAGCGGGAATGCCCAGGAAATTGACGTAACAAGAATAAAAAATCCACGAAAGCTTTTTGCGAAAGAATGCATCATAATTACGTGATGTCGAGAAATAAAATTGGGGGCAAATGTGAAATATCGGTTAGTGTTTTTCAATTTTTCCCAACATACATTCCAAGTATTAAGTTCTTCCTGAAACTATTAAAAGAGGGCAACGGGAGCTGTGCTACTTTGCACATAAACCGTCAACTGTTGAATCACTTTCTGATAAGCATTCTTGTATAAAATGTTTGAAACAGATAATTTATTAATTAATCGCGTTTGTTTAGTCTGCTCGTCAATATAATGGGCGGTAAAAATATTTTATCTAAGTTTTTATTTTGTGGGTGTAAAAATAATAAAAAATTACCGGAAGAAAAGGAAAAACCCCCGTTACCAAATAACACAGATATTGAAAGTGGTAAGATCAAAAAAAGTTAAATCAAACTAACGCTAGATCTAGAACTAGAATCATTCTGGTTTAGCCACCTTAAGAGACTTACAGCTAAACCAGAATGTTCTAGTTCTAGTTGTAGGTCTAGTGTTAGTTCTAATGCTAGTGTTAATTCTAGTTTTAGCTGTTATTCAGTGCTAAATTGTATATTTTTATTGAACTGAAAGTAGAACTAACTAATTTGTCTGCATTCAAATTATTCATTCAAAAAGTTTAAATTAGAAATTTTTCATATAACGGACTTTTGGTTATAACGGACACTCCATTCCCTGTATTAATCCATCATTTATCGAATTGTTAATTTAAAATTATTTAATTTTCTTAGATTCTCGAATTCAAAATATCAACCTATGCATCGAAAAAAATGGAGAAGAACACAACACCTCGAAATATTTCCACATGCGTCAAGGAACCAAATCGAATTTAGTGATCAGACGTGGTCAAAGTTTTCGAATTGAAATAACCCTCAGTTCCCCATACAAACCAGACACGGACAAGATTGCTTTTAATTTCAAAAGTGCAGATGCTAAAATACCAAATTTCCGAGATGGAACCATAGTGCTTATTGGTTTATCAAAAAATAACGATTCAGAATACGCTTGGAAAGCAAATTTGGTCTCTCATGAAGCTAATACAGTTGTTGTCGATATAACACCATCACCCGATTGTATCGTTGGGAAATGGTCATTGATGGTTGAATATAAAAACACAGAAAATGTTGCTACGTTTAATTTGCCAAAAAGTATTTTTATTCTATTTAATCCATGGTGTGAGGAAGATGAAGTTTTTATGGAATCTAAAGAATGGAGAGAAGAAGCCGTTTTGAATTCGGATGGAATGATATGGTGCAATATGACGAATTTGGGAAGACCATGGAATTATGCGCAGTTCGATGAAGACATTTTAGATTGTGCTTTGTATTTAGTGGGAAATTTGGGTCAATTGAAAGGTCGTTTACGTTCGGATCCAGTTCAAGTAACTAGAAAGCTTTCCGCTGTTATGAATAGCAACGATGATTATGGGGTTTTAGCTGGAAATTGGGGTAAGGATTATACAGGAGGTGTTAGTCCTTTAAAATGGACAGGAAGTAGAGATATTTTACAACAGTACTACAAGAAAAAGCAGCCTGTTAAGTTTGGACAATGTTGGGTATTTGCTGGAATTTTAACATCAGGTAAGAACTTTTTTATTTTTTGAAAAAAAATTATTAATTCATCTTATCATAGCTTGTAGAGCTCTTGGAATACCGGCACGTACCATAACAAATTTTAGTTCGGCGCATGATGGTGATGGATCAATAACTAATGATTTCTTCATAGACGATGACGGTAAAATAGATAGTGGATCAGATTCCATTTGGAACTTCCATGTTTGGTCTGAAGTTTGGATGAAAAGAGCCGATCTTGGAACCGGTTATGATGGATGGCAAGCTTTAGATGCTACACCTCAGGAAAGAAGTGACAGAATCTTCCGTTGTGGTCCAGCTTCGGTTGTCGCCGTCAAAAACGGAGATATTACCAAACCTTACGATGTCCCATACGTTTTTTCTGGTGTCAACGCTGATACAGTGACTTGGAAGTTGGATAGAAACGGTTTCGCTTCTCAATTGGTAGAGAAAAATACTAATCACGTCGGAAAATTTATAAGCACAAAAAGTCCAAGTGGTTATAAAAGATTAGATGTCACGGATGCTTATAAATTTAATGAAGGTTCTGCCGAGGAAAGGGCAATTTTCTTAAAAGCTATGCGTCAAGTTGAACATCCATTCGGGAAAGCTTACGTTGCCAGTAAATTCGAAGAAATTATTTTCAAATTTAAATATTACGACGATATTAACGTTGGAGAATCATTCGACCTTAAATTAATAATGACCAATACAAACACTACCCAAAATTTTAACATCCTCACCATATTACGGTTGGATGTATTTTCTTACAACGGTAAACTTCTCGCTACCGCCAAAGCCATCAAAGAAACTGTGAATGTACCGAAAAATGGCCAGAAGGAATTCATAATGCCCGTCACTTTTGAAGACTACAACAAGTTTTTGACCGATAACTGCTTCTTTGTCATTTCCTGTTTAGCGTCAGTGGAAAACACAAATTATTACTATTACGATAGGGATAACGTTATAATTAAAAAGCCGGGTGTATCAATTGACGTCGCAAATAAGAATCAAGTTGGAAGACAGGTTCAAGGATGTGTTGGTATAAAAAATCCTCTTCCCATTCCGTTGAAGAAAGGAGAATTTCTTATTGAAGCACCCGGTTTAGGAAAACAACTTAAAATTAAATTGAAGAATGATATTCCTCCGCACGGTGAAATTACTGAACAATTTATGTTTACTCCGGAAATGCCTGGACTTCAAACTGTTGCAGCTAAATTCGTATCGAAACAATTAGATGATGTTGAAGGTTTCAAACAGATTGTTGTTGATGTTTAATTAATTTGTATTGTTTTTTTTTATTATAAAATAGTTGATAGAAGCAATTTTAATTATTCTCTATTTACTATATTTTTTCATTACTTACATTTTAAAATTATATTTTATTACTTTTATTGTGTTAAATAAATATTTCTATATTCTTATAAAAATTAATTTTGCTGTCTTTCGCATGCTCCCATTGTAAATAAGAATAACTTTCCCACTCTTGCATATAACTAACTATTTTTTAATAGTATATTATTCAACAAGCGTATAATGGCGACTGTTACCCACGAAGATGAAGTTGAAACGGGCGCTCGCTCGTGTTGTAATCTGGGTGGGTAACATCCATTATACGCAAGTTGAATACTATACTTTATCTACAACTATTTAATTTTGAAAAAAAAATCAAAAAACGAAAAAAAATAAACTTGATAGACATTTCAGACATAACCTCAATATAAGAAAGCTGTCATTTCTGTTAATATTTTATTTTGTTATTAGTAGGCCGTGTCAGAACTGTGGAATAATGGCTTCATTATTCAACACTTTGTCAGTCATGAGTAATGCATGTCATTACCCGTCAAAAATCAAATGTATAATGAATAGATAATTCAATAGTTGTAGATAAAGATATTTACTTAATAAGAGTACCGGACATAAGGAATCTATGATAATGAATAACAAAAAGAATATTAATATACAACGAATATTTAAACTTGTAATAGTTACACGTTGTAATTAGTAGATAATATGATAATTTTTTAATTAGATTATACTCTGATCATGCCTCAGATCAATGAGTAATATATTTCAAACATAAAATAGGGTTTCTCATACTTTTCTAATAGTCTCTATACAGGGTCATCCACGACGACCGTTCATTTGAACTTTACAGGGTTCTGGCCAAACTGCAAATTTGAAAATTCAGATTTAAGTATTATCAATTGCGTTCTCTTCGACTAAAATATTTTCAAATATCTAACACTTTCCTCTGGCCAGAACCCTGTAAAATTCTAGTGGACGGTCGTCGTGGATGACCCTGTATATAATCAATAGTTTCTAAAGACAATTCGTATACTCGCTAGGCTAAAAAATCATAAGAGCTGCAGAAGTCACTTCAAAAAATTAAAAATAGTCACCTTGCCTTGTTGTTTTATACTTACCTGCCTTGAGTATATTCACAACAAAAAAGACTCGCTACAAAATAATGCAGACAATCACGATTACAACACTCGCTACTATGAAGATATTGGAATTGCGTTTTACTGAGTGGCAAAATCGCGAAAAACTTACCACTACACACCCCACATGGCAAGAATGATAACTTCTCTTTTAGAAGAAAAGGCCAAGAGAGCCCCAAAGAAAGTTTCTTCCGTTGATGAAGGGTTCTGCCCGGGTACCACAAGCATATGTGAGTGTGAGTCTCTGTGTGTGAATACTGCACTTTGCTTCTGCACGAACATAAATTATACCAGCTCGAAAGGTTTGATCATATTGAGTCTTCTGATCTGGTTTGTATTATCGAGGATTGGGATGACTTCGACATTAACGTGATGAAGAAGTCTTGCTGTTCATGACACTTCGCGAATTTGCTAACGCCCTGATTAACGTTGTCCATTTCCATGTTACTATGGAGGTTACTATTTCTACAATACCAATAAGCATTGGCAATGTTCCTTAACATTTTGTTTTGGTATGGTTGGACTACTTCTAAATTGCTCTTAGTGGCACAACCCCAGAACTGGTTGCTATATGTTCATTCAATTTGTTTTCACAAAAGTAGTTTGTTATACTTATATTGACTGGGTGGTTTCGTAAAGAGGCGAATAATTTTTTTCAAATTTGTTGTCTAATTCTTCTTTTTTCTCTTTGACAGGCGTTTTCGCTATACCCAACTTTTTTTACTGTATTGGCATATGGTACTTGGATAATGTTTATGCTGAAAAACATGTTGTTTGTAGTTGTTTAGGAAGCACTGGTTTATTGGTTGGTTTATCGTTGAATTTTTGCATTTCTTTTGCGACTTTACATCATCTGTAATTGACTGGTTTGTCAATCTTTGGTTTATCAGGACTTATCAGGTTTTTGTCTCTTCGTTAAATTCCTCTGTCTTCTACCAAATTTAGCACAATATTTGTGCTTCCCTTGCGCTCTTTGATTATATATATTTACGCCTATCTAGTAGTTTGTTTGCAACGTTTTGCGAAATAAATGATATTCAAGACATCAAAGTTGAAATGCAACCTCCAAGCTTGTACCCTAGTAGAAAAAATGCCAAGAATACAGACTACAAATATTTATCAAGATATCTGATACTGCGTGGTTCCATAGCACAATATTATGTATTTTGTGTAGATATTTTTAGGTAGCTATGAAACTACGTGAATAACTAATAATTCATATTTTCTAGGTGCAATGAGAGTAGAAAATTACAGTTCCGTTTTGATCGCAACTTTCAATCAGTGGACATGAACTGACATGAAATTCGTAATCTTGGTATTGCAACACCAGTGAGTGCAACATCTGCAAAGAAGAAACCAAGAAAATTATAAAAAAAAATCTCGCAAATAGTCTTCAGAAACTCATGAAAAATAAAGAAAATCAGTAATGCCTAGTTAGGTTGTCTTAATAATTATACTCTAAGTGTCGACGTAGGAACTTTCTACCTGTCATGAAAAGATTGAATGAGAAATCATATTTTCAACAGTTTGACTAAACCTTTCGTCTTTATTGCAAATTCACAGCACTTAATTTTTATATATGTGTTACTGGTTGCTGACAATTTCACACTGTTGAAAACGATTGATTTGTATTAGCATTTTAATCTTATTTTTTTATTTAATTTTTAATGTGAAAATTGTTTTAATTATGAATAAGGTGTTAGTACTAATTTAGCAATATCACTGAAAAGTTTAATATTTTATTTCAGTTATAGTAGTGATGTCGCCTCGAAATAAAAGTAGCACAAACAGAATGAACCGAGATTATTGTTGACTTCGATAATAGTGAAGATAAACTATTCGACTTTTAAGGTACGGATAGTATTAACAATAGAGATTGAATCCGATGAACCAAAAAATCTTGTTTTGGTGATTGCAATAATAAACTCGAGCAAGAATTAAGAGGCGATGTACTAGTTCCTGAAAATGAACTAAGATTTCAAATAAATGCAAAGATTCATAACTTGCAGATTTGATCACATTGCAGGATTTTTATAATTTATTTCATTCAGATATTTTTAAAATTACAAGACTTATTTTGAAATTTACCCATAGTCCTTGCTTAAAGATCCTGAAAACATAATTGCTTAACTTACCGAATACAAAATCAGATGCGGTTCTTAGCAAAAGAGTTCGTCTCAATATACTAAAGTTATAAGCATCTACTTCAGCACCTTGGTCTGATCAATAACGTTTCAAAATTTAGTATTCGTGTATTTGTAGGTAAGTATTTATGCAGAATCCAAGAAGAACTTGATTCATTGTTAAAAGATTGCCTTAGGTCGTAGTGATATACCCTGTGTAGAATATGAGATAAAATATAAAATACCTATACAGAAAAATAACAAAGAAAAACAAAATATAACACACGTATATTTAACATAATGTGGATGGACATTTGTATGTTGATTGTCAAGTTGTCATTCCATTGAATCGGCGCTCACGATAGGTAGGAAAAGTTGTCTAATTCGCCACAGTATGCAGATATTTCGCAGTTTTGAACAATATGCTCAATGGTCTCGTTCTCTCTATCGCAGTCACAATTGCCTTACCCCATATTTTGGCCTTTCTTTCTCAGCCAAGTCTGGCTTTATTCCATTTATGGAGTGAGTCTCTGCGTAAGTCGTGCCTTGTTCGAATCCAGTTAGATGCTCAATTCTGGGGTTGGGTTGGGTTGGGTTGTGTAGGAGTCTAGTTGTGTAGAGTCTTAGCTGTCCTTATTGCAGGGTGTCTAAAGTTCAGCCTGGACGATGAAGTAGCTTGGGTGTAGTTATGGATTGGTAGTTGTCTATTATCTAATATTTTTTTGGAATTCTCGAGTCAAGTCGCCTTGTTATCTCAGCTTGGACGGTGGAATGTGGCTGAGCGCAGAAAGCCAGTTTATGGAAGTAGTTTTCATACAGCCAGTGATTTTTCGCATGGTGGAGTTTAGTTAAGCATCTAAACTGCTGGTGTGACAACTATGTCGAGCCACATTGGTAAGCAGTACTCGGCAGCACTGTAGACTAGTCCTAAGGCCGTGCATCGCAAGGTTGTAGCATAATTTCTGAACGATATTGTTTCAGCAGCAAGCCCAGTGTCTTATAAGAGATTAGCCTTAGAAACTTAAAGAGCAGACCTCTTATACGGTGTCGTAGGCAGCTGTTAGATCTATAACGACGGGAGATGTCTTTTTCCGTTTTTGAAAACCACTGTTTGAATTCTTATAATTTTTATTGCTTAGTTTTAGTTTTCAATTCGAATTTTCCTTTTCGTTCATAATTTCGTTCTTTTGTATGTTGTCTTTGTATTCATGTTACGCGTGCGTCTTGTCAAAAACCAGTATATTTGTAAAAATACCTGTATCGTGTCAGTCAGTCAGTCGATTAAAAGTCTTGAAAAGAGCGTGAATTTCGTCGTTTTATTGAATACATCAAGTTATAAGTTTTGTTGAGTATCGAGTGAAAAAAAAGAGGATATTTTCGTTTAATTCGATAAGTATAAAACTTTCAATTTTTGAATTATTCTAAACAACCACCCTCGATATAAGTTGTAAGGCTGAGAAACTGATCCACGCAGAATGAAACGTTCTAGGAGTTTAAACCGAACGATTAGTAGACCGATGGGTCGATAGCTACCAGGCAAGTCTGCCGGCATCCCCGGCTTTAGGATGAAGATGATCTTTGTCTTATTAAATTCCTTTGGTACAAGGCCGTTTTTCAAAATATCAGGTTAAAATCCAGCTAGCCAATTCCTGGTGAACCGATTGCATTTAATCGAGAGGTCGTTATGAATGTTCCAAGGGGCTTTACCGATTTTTATCTGTTGGAGTGTACTGGAGACTTCATCATGCGTGAAGTTTCGAGAAATTAGACCTTTCCAAGCAGACGACCTTAATCTCTCTCAGCTCCCTTTTAATACGTCTGGTGTGGTCCTCATCCTTGGGAGCTCTTGACGCTAGTACAATATGATTTGCTACTTGGGCGGCTTAAATGACTCATCTTAACTTTTCCTTAGCTTCTTTAATAGGGCCCAGGTCTTTCTGCTTGAGTTCTCTTGTTTGGGACCAACTCTCTCCACGGGCAGCATCCCGAATGAAGATCAGATCTATTTCGGCATCACCACTATCATGGATATATGTGGGCGGTATCGATATCAAGTGTTTGTTAAGGTCTCTTGAGAAGCTCAGCTGGTCGGCTTTTGAAAAATTAAAGGATAGTATTATCGGGATTTGGATACTGAAGTAGACAAAGTCTTTTTAGCATCGAATATTAATTTTATGTTGTTTTCTGCAGTTTGAGCTGCAATTCTACATTCCCTCCTCGTGGTATACCCTGGGTAACGCTAAAAAGTGAACGCAATTGACGAGCAGAAGACATCCTTACGATTTCCTAATCTACATACAAGTGGGTATACCGAAATTAAAGGAGCCCTTCTGAGTACATTGGACAATGTATCCGATTTATGCCAACTGAGCTTTGAGAGCTTTGGCGATCTAAGTGTCAATATTTAAGTAAACTAAAGGAGAATGTTGTCCGTACCACTCCAGTAAATCATCATCACCTTTTCAAAGGAAAGATAATTTATATGTACTCTTCAAATATCTAATCAATCATCTTTATAGCTACAATTAACCCATAAAAGTCTTTACGAAACAATTAAACAATGTTTATGATTTTGTATTTACATCGATATTAAACATTATTGCTCGTGCTTGATATGCGATGATTAAAGTGTTAAAATTAAGTTTTATTTAATGAAATGTAATGAAGATAAATTGTTTATAATAAAATGCATGTTGTAAAGTTAATGAATAATGAATCAACACTCCCACTCCTGAATCTTTTACTTCTAAGACGTTTTCAAGTAGATGTTACAGTCAGAGCTGTAGCGCTCAAAGTAGCGTTGCTTTTTAATCCAACAGAGCCTATAACAGAAAAGTGCACGATGGGACGTAGAAAATGGTATAGATGCAACTGTATGTCTTGTTTTCGGGCTAAATATAAAGTTAACGAAACTCCTTTACAAGAATTACCTAAACCTAAAGAAGCAGGTAAGAAATTTCAAATTAAAATTTGTTTTAAATTTTATTTTATAATAAAGGTATTTGTTACAAATTGTTTTTTAATATGCAATGTTTATGTTAGTTTGTTAAACCAAGGTCGAGGAAGTTTGTTTGCAAACAAAGAAATTTTTAACATTGAAATTCTTGCTTTTGATTTTTACGTGTTATTAACAAACAAAATCTTCTTTTCAAGGATCTCATTATTCAAATCCTTCAGGGCTACTATATCGCACGTAATGCTACCATTGTTTTGTTATTAAAGAAGGCTAAAAGGTGTTTTCCCCCTGGAATAACACGAGTTTATTGCAACGATAAAAATAAACTGAATTTATTACCGTTTGAAGCATGATGTCATAGCAAATCTAAGAATTTCAATAAATTGAATTAGTCACTAATAATAAGAATATACCACCCGTGAAATTTTATAATTAAAGAAAATCTATTTCAAACTTTATTTTTAATGCTTTACATCTTCATGTTTATATCTTTATGTTCATAGATCAAAACAATTTCTTTCTCCATTAGCTCTCGTCATATCGAATAACCAGACAAACACGGACGTTATCTAAATACTTTGCAGACACCGAGAATGACGCCGTTTCTATTAATATTTCATACTTTTTTAGTTTCACTATGAGATCTATTAAAATAGTGTGGGTTTTCAACTGACTAAATTAAAAAAAAAAAAAAAAAAACGTGAATCATTTAGAAGTAAACATGGTTTCGCCTTGAAGAAGGTCGTCGTTTGACCTACATACTTTTAGTGTTACTTTCGATCTTGTCTTACGACATCGCGATTTTGGCGCAAATTGGTGATCTCAGCAGCAACGCCATCGAAATGGAGAGTTTTTTTTTTCACTTTTTCTTGTTTTTATTTAGACGAAACCGACGGGCTACCGTATATCGATGCCGACAAAGAAGCCGACATTCTCATCGTCAGAAAAATTGACCCTTGCATCGCCGCAAATGGGCCGGCTCATAATACCTCAAAGTACCATCTAATGACCAGATCCGTTGAACCGCAATTAGTGGTGCGAAGAGGTCAATCTTTTAGACTTGACATCCAATTAAGTAGACCTTACAATGATACTAAAGATGGAATTTCTTTTGTATTTGTTGTTGATGGTAATAATAAAAATTATTTAACGAAAAGAAATTTTAATGATATAATTTTAGATTCTGAAAAACCTAGTCATGGTCAAGGTACATTAGTAGCTGTACCATTATTAAGAAAACCCGATAAATCTTTACCGTGGAACGTTATTTTAGAATCAGTTAGCGAAGATTTACTAACGGTTCAAGTTACATCACCATCTGATTGTCCCGTTGCGAAATGGAAAATGGAAATTGATACAAAATTGGTTGAAGATGGTGCTTATCGATATAGTTGGGAAACTGGGATTTATCTTCTTTTTAACCCCTGGAATAAACGCGATCAAGTTTATATGAAAAATGAGGAGTGGAGGGAAGAAACGACCTTAAATGATGTTGGATTAATTTGGAGAGGAACCGCGAATAGATTACGACCAACAATTTGGAAATACGATCAATTTGAAGAAACTATTTTGGAATGTTCTTTGTATGTTTTAAATTGTATCGGAAAAATCCACGGAAATTCCAAAGCCGATCCAGTACAAATAACGCGAGCTTTAGCCGCCGGGGTTAATAGCGTTGATGATGAAGGTGTTGTTATGGGAAATTGGTCTGAAAATCATTCGGGAGGGACTCCACCTACAAAATGGATTGGGAGCGCGGAAATTTTACAAAAATATTATAAGAAGAAAAAACCAGTTCGATTTGGACAATGTTGGGTTTTTGCAGGGGTTGTAACAACAAGTAAGTAAATTCTTTCTTATAAAAAATTATCTCATAATAAAATAATTTAATAGTTTGTCGTGCTTTGGGAATTCCATCAAGAGTTGTAACAAATTATTCATCGGCACACGATACTCAAAGTTCTCTAACAGTAGATTTCTTTATGGATTCGAACGGAAAAATTGTGGACGATCTTAATTCTGATTCGATATGGACGTTTCATGTTTGGAATGAGGTGTGGATGAAAAGACCGGATATCGGCGAAGAATACGATGGTTGGCAAGCAATTGATGCAACACCGCAAGAACCGAGTGAGGATGTGTACCGTTGCGGACCGGCATCCGTGTTGGCTTGCAAAAGAGGGGAAGTTCTAAGACCGTACGATGGTTCCTTCCTTTTCGCGGAAGTCAACGCAGACAAAGTATGCATATTTGAAGAGTGAGACTATTTTAAGATATGCGTTTACTCGTACGATGCAAATGCTAATCGAGCGGCACGCGTTGGTTTTCTTCAATTAGGTCGACCAAACAAGGATCTATTACCTTGTTACAAAACGTTAGAGCGTTGATGTCGCTGCATTCTTATGCAAATTAGACTTTGCATCTTATGTGATTTGATTACAAAAAAAAACTAAACATCTTTACAATTTTTTTATAGGTTTTTTGGAGATACACCGGTCCAACTCAACCTTTAAAACTCTTGGGTAAAGACATGTTAGGTATAGGAAAATTAATAAGTACAAAAGCACCCGGAAAATTCGAAAGAGAAGACATTACATACACATATAAACACCCGGAAAAAACACGCGAGGAACGCGTTACGATGTTAAAAGCTCTCCAACAATCCGAAAGTTCATTCTCACGATATTATCTCAACGAAGATTTTAATGATATTCACTTTAATTTCGAATTACGCGATGATATTATCATCGGAGATCCATTTACTGTTTGTTTGGTAATGAAAAATCGTAACAAAAACAAAGATTTTAACGTTTCGGTTATTTTGAGAGTCGATGTTATGGCTTACACTGGTAAATCAACCGAACAAATTAAAAAAGAAAAATTTGATATCGTCGTTAAATCAGAGTCAGTACACGAAGTCAAACTTGAAGTGCCATACAAAGATTATTTCAAAAAATTAAAAGATCAAGCTAATTTTAATATAAGTTGTTTAGCTACAGTTGAAGATACCAAATTCGAATATTATGCTCAAGATGATTTTAGAGTTCGTAAACCGGATATTAAAATAACTTTACCCGATAATCTTCAGGTAGATAACGAAGTTATTGGTGATATCGAATTAGTAAATCCACTGCCAAATCCATTGAAAAAAGGGGAATTTCTCGTTGATGTACCAGGATCAAAACAAATCAAAATTAAGGTAAAAGGGGCTGTTTTAACTAAACAAAGCGCGGTCGCTCAGTTTAAATTTACACCAAAAGAGATTGGAATGCATACAATCGGTGCTAAATTTACTTCTAAAGAATTAAACGACGTCGATGGATTTGTTAACTTTAATGTACTGCCCAAGGAGGAGGCTCCACCAGTTTAATTTTAACGCTTATTTTATCAATTTATTATTTTTATTACGTCTTCACGTTATTTATTCATGTATTTTTAGAGCACTCAATGATTTTTATATATTTGATTATTTTATAAATATTTATGTACCTATGAAAATGTATTAAAATATCTAAAAGTATAAAATAATAAAGAATTGGAAAGAAATTTTGAATTATTTTATATAGCTTTCTTCAAAATAACTTTAGAGAATGTTCGGTTAATTTAGATTTTCGCTTTAAGATGGCGCTAGTTGGTTTAAAACATATGGGAAATGTTTATTGAAAAGAATCTTGTATATACATGTTCTGAGATAAGACCACAATATTCAACGTGGTATTATAATTTGAAATGATTGTCATAACTAAATCCTCAGATGTACAACAAATAGAACTTCATCTAGCAAATTTCTCCCTATTTTGGAGATTCTACTTATTGCACCACTAGATCCAATGACAATATGCAAAGATATGATATAAGCAATTTCTATTGAATGAAGTATTTTCAAACAAGCATAATTTATTAATAACTATCCTCACACAATTACAAGTCAAGATAGGAGTATTAAAAGGTACAGTAGGAGCTAGAGAACAAATGGCCAAATTGAAGAGAAAGATTGAAGTGGATGAGGTAGATAAGGGGTGACTACGAAAGGAAGTTTTGCAATGATAAGATGGTAGAAATGTTAAAGCTTTGAACATAACAAGTGGTAGGCAAGATGTAATAACAAAATGAGGTGTGATCATTGTACATAGGAGAAACATACAGGAGCGTAGAAAGAAAGAAGTATGAAGATAAAGGAGTAAGAATGGTATTCTAGAATGTTGCTAGTATTGATAACAACGAGGAACATGATTGGGAATACTCAAAGAAATTTGTTGTAATTTGTCTAAGAAAGAAGAATAAAGTAAAGATATTTACGATATATGAAGCTCAGCAAGTAAGAGTATATCTACTAAGTGTGGCGACCATAACACAAATCCTAAATTTAAGGCAACTCATAAAAAATGTCTAGAATTCAATATCCCAATGGTCATCTGTTTTTTGGATTATCAAAAGGTTTTAGAATGTTTTAGTGGAAAATGCTGTGGAGGAACCTCTACGACAACGACATAATCACAGTGAGAATAGAGAACCGACAGTCTTTGCCCTTTAAAACTGGTAGGGGTGTTCGCCAGGAATGCATATTCTTTCCAGAGCTTTTTACCATCTATGGAGAATAATGAGAATGGCAATTGTACTCAACTGCACTCAGATATGCAGACGATACTTTGATAGCTTTGATAGCTGCATCAGAAGAGAAAATGAGGATCTTCTAAACCGAGTTGAAACTGAGAGTAATAAATGTGGCCTTTAAATTAACACAGAGAAAACCAAAATTGTGATCGTCGATCATTCTAATGTTCTGCAAATGACGGATAAAGACTGAAGAAGAAGAAAAGGACTGGATAAAAGTGCAATGAGTATCTAAGACTATTCCAAACAGTACTAAAATAGGGCTAGTTCAGTCCATCTTGATCTGCTCCATTTTCCAGTATGGGACTAAAAACGTGGATAATTAAATTTTTGGAGGCGCATGATCTGAATTCTGTGGACAGTGCACAGATCGAGCGAATCAATCTTTAGAGAATTAAACATCCAGAATAGACTATGTTTTATATGTCTTGTGAATATGCTGAGGTTTTTGGACACATCACAAAAAAAGAAGGTCCAGAGAATGCTCAACCAACCGAATGGATGGACCAGATTCAGAAAATTACTGGCACTTCGTTTTACGGCTCTGTAAATATGGCGCGAAACCGAAGTCAATGGAGAGTATTGACGACACAAGTTGCTAATGATCATGATTCTTAGTAATGAGAGAAGGACTAGAAAGAAAGATGTAGGAAAACAGATGTCGCACAGAATTTAATGCACAGATTAGTGAAGAGGGAGGAATAGAATGTATGATGGAAAAGAAGTGGAGGCCATGGTTGCAAGCTAAAGTTGAAGGGGATGATGTGGGAAAGCACGCTTATATGTATATGTATAACAGGCCCATTGTACATTTTCCTTGCACAACATCCGACTAATTACACCAACCTAAGCAGTTACCAAAGGTGAGCATAGCATTTAGAGGTGTGCCCCTGATGCATTTCTGAATGCTGTTTTCTCGTCTTTAGCATAAAAACAGTACATAAAGTTATTGACAATCAGAAAGTTATAGAAGTGTATATGAACTTCAATAATACTGCTGTAATAAGGCGTAGGGTACCTTTGGTAAACTTTAAAAACAACTGCCATCATTTTAATCTATCTCACCAGTCCTGAAACTTCTCGGTAATAGTCATAATACATTCGATATGAATTGGTAAGTACGAAAGTGTTAACAGCACGAGCAAGAAGGGTGCACTTTTTGGCAAGCTTATCGTAGTTCTATTGCCCAAACATGTTGAATATCCTTTGATTAATTGAGGTATAATACAATTATATATTTCCAGTTCTTCAATTGTCTAATAACATTCCATCACTAATCTGGAGGATTTTGATTCGAGTTTGCAACAAAGTCTAAGACAATACTTATGGTGTGTAACATCACCTGTTTAATGGTACTAATATTACCTAAAGTCTTTGGTACTTGTAGACGAAAGTCATATAAAAGATACCATTTTCTCTTCATGAACCACCACTGTATTCCGCATACAGTACCTAGGCCCTAACGGACCCCTTGTACATCCTCCTCCTCTCTCCGGCTACATCAATCAGCCTAAGGAATTTCCGAAGGCTAGGATACAACTCGGAGGTGTGTTCCTGATTCCATCTGTGCTCGGCCATTCCTCTCCGAAGTCTCTCATTCTGAGGTCTTGTAGAGTGGGGTAGTCACACAAGATGTGTCGAACCGTCTCCTCGTTCTATTCACAGAGGCGGCAGAGAGGACTAACAGCAAGCTTAAGGTTATAAAGATGATTGTTCACCTTACACTGACCCGTGACGAGTCCCGTTACAGTTCGTAGAGCGTTTCTACCAAGCCTTACGAAGGGCAAGGCTGCCTCTGCTGAGGGATAATGTAATACTTCCTTAGATAGATGGCAGCCCTTAACCCTATTCCACCAGTTCATGAACTTTTTGTGGGTAAAATCTTTAATTATCTCAATCTGAGTTGATAAGGACGGAGCAATTATCGGTTCAGACGAACATGGCGCTCGCTTGGCAGCCCTTTTGGCAAGCCTATCAGCGTGCTTGTTACCTGTACAAGTTGAGTGTCCGTTTGTCTATTGAAGTATAACACAGTTATGCACTGCGGCCTTCTCCAATGTCAGATGAGAACCCATAACAAGTCCTGAGGTAATTGTTATTCTACTCAGGGCTAAAATAGACTACCACTGTATACATTTTGTTATTTACATATGTTGTAGGAATGAATAGGTGAGATAAAGACACGTATTAGAATGAAAACGTTATTGGATAATTTACCACCAATAGTAGTAAAGTTTCGTGACCCTCTATAATATAGCGTCAGTTTTGGCGGGATATCACCAGTGTCACTTCTGGTTATTCTGTGCCGACGACACAAGGTCGCCTATCTCACTTCGACGATTTGCCGTCGCACTCCTTCTTCTGCGCAACTGACCGGCCAAGATGGATTTGCTAAGCTGTATGCGACCTCAGTTTAGCTACCTAAAACATTTCCTACTTTTTCATAAAAACATGTAGTCTGCACAGTTACAAACGCTACCGGTTCAACATAATATCTGGTGATTTGTGTACGAAAAGAGAGGTTAAGGTCTGGGTGTGAATAAAAGAATGAAATAAACAGGATTACTGGGTGAAATTAACTAATTTAACTCGTACAGTCTCGATGTTTCCAGTTAACTTTAATATCCTGTGACCCTCCTCTTCTTCTTATTGTTCAAAATAGCTTCGAATCCACAAATGATTAGCATTCTGGGATTTACTGGTCCAACATTCCATTGTAACTAAACTTCCACATCAGCACTACCACCATGACACCATGTTAGATGTCACTGCCGATTCTGTAGTTGATAAAAGCCAAACATACTTGCATCGTTTATATCTACAGCCAATTGGACAAAGAATGACAGATTTCTAAGAGTAGGTTAACTACAAAAATGTAGGACACACACCAGAACAGAAACCAGTCTTCAGAAGGCTTTTATTCAAGATTGAGCAAACGTATGACAGTGTTCACAATAACAGAAAGATAGTAGTTGACGAGATTAAGTTGACAATTTAGGCAAAGGTGAGGCCAGATTTGCAGCACAGTTTTCACTTTAGTTTGAGAGGTCTGGTGACCTCAAATACGGAATTCAAGTGAATAAAGAAGTAAAACATAAAGTAAGTAAAACAGAAGAATTTCATGAAAGTATCAACGACGATCTCTGATCTGCAACAAAATACAGAATCCATCACCATAAGTTTCTGGTAAGAAATTGGAAATACTTAGAAAATTTCAGTATCAGCATGGTGAATAGGTCTGTAATGTTTCAATTCACCGAAACTAATTATATACCAACGCTGATATTTACATATCTCATAGCTTTATGTACAACATATTGGCACAACCAAGATCAAACAAATCCACATCCAGAAAAATTCTATATTACAACAGGCAGTACACACAATATATGCCATTCTGCTTAAACCGGCATATATATGTCAATTACACAATCGATGTCAATTGCCAAAACAGGATGGCAAAAGCCTTAATTATGATTTGAATTTTTGTATCTGCTAGAAAAGCAAAACTTTACAAATTTTTTGATTTCACCTATGTATATTTTGCATGAATCTTCTCTGCGGCTGCAATCATCGATCTTAATCTTCTTTCTCCTGAAAATATTTTTTATTGGTTAAAGCTTCACTTTGAAGTATGTCTTTCAGGGATATAGAAGACAGAGACAAGATTTCTTTTATGAAATAATATATACCACTTTTAAACTGTAAAGAATTTCTCCAATCTTAAAACGTGGTTATAACGTTTACGACATTCGAAGCCGCCAGAATATTCGTGGTGTGAAATTCCCTAAAAATTTTAGGACTTATAAAAATTAGGCGACCAAGAAGTACTTGACCTATTAACGTTAAAA